TGGAGGAAATCTTGTCAACAGCTATTTAAAGCTAATCTTGTGGATCCCCCCACCCCAAATTAAATGCTTGATTCAGATCTGAATTGGGTGGACTTTTCACTATAAAAGGGGATGGGGGGCTTTCTTGTTTGGGTGGTCTTTGACACATTCTGCTCCCCCCTTTTGACCACTACTTTCGTTCATCTCCGACCACTTCCATTTGTCTCCAATCGCTTTCGTTGCTTTTGAAAAAGGAGAGGAAACGGACTGTACTAAGATCAAGGAAAAAAAACACCAATTCTTCAGCTGCCGAAGCACCGAAATTGCTACAATTTTATACCATTATCTATCGGGGAATTTTCGATTTTCATGTTCCCGTGATCCAAAAGGTTTTTGTCAATTCTACAAGCCGTTCATGTCCTAATCGTTGATTGAGTGAGTAAATTTTCGTTCACACAAGATTGAGCGTTACTTGCTTCTCATAATTGCAAGTTTCAGTCGCGGTTTTGGATTTTGTCCAAGACAAGAGAATCAGAGGGTTTTCTTTGCCAATAAAAAGAGAATTTGTATCCCACTTAAATTTTTGCAAAAAAAAAAAAGATTAAATTCCTTTGGATTTGTTCGTGTTAATTTTTGTATTCCAAATTTAGTGCGATATTTGTATTGACACCTATCACAAACATTCATACATAGGTAAATACATGGTGTCAAACAGTTCAAAGTAGGTTACATAAGATTATAGACATTATTTTGTTTTTCTGAAAACATGATTTTTTTTGTTTATTTGGTAATCACCTATATAGCCACCAAACATCATTTTTTGCCTTTTTGACTAGGGTGTGGGCTAATTTTTGAAACTGAACCGGGGTTACTGGTTTTTAGCCGAAGCCAATTGGTTAATTGGGTGACCGATTCGATTTATCGGTTTTTTGGTTTTTTATTTACAATATTTATTATAGAAAAATATATAAATATATAATAAAATACTAGAATTATATATATAATATTATATTTTAAATAATAAATAATATATTATATATTATAAATATAAATATATATATATGTATATATAATGCATATTTATCAATTTGTAATGTATAGAAAATATAAAATATATATAATATATAAATATACATAAAATATATATAAATATATATATGCCAGTCAATTCGATTAACTGTTGGTTTTCTATTTTGATTAACCGAAACCAAATTGACCGATTTGATTAACCAAATTTTTGGTTCGATTCTTCGGTTTTTTTTCTCACCCCTATTTTGACAAACCGTGGCATGATAGGAAAATGAGGTTTTTGATAAAATAAAATAAAATAAAAAATCAACCATATCCACCAAAGCCCCGTAGTATTTGCTCCATATCAATTGTCACTTAAAGCTGCTAAAAACTGAGACTCAATTACAGTAGATATATAGTTGAAAAGCTATTCTCAACTGCTACAAACTGTCACTATTAACACTCAATTGTTGAAATATATATTTAACCATTACAAACCATCGCAAAATCATACTCAATAATGATTACAAAGCCATATTTGACTGTTACAAATTTATACTCAACTATTACAAATCGGTATTTATTGGTGCAAACTGATGCATATTTTTCTATTTCAATTTTGAAATGCTGCTAAGAAAATTAAATATAGATAGATACAACTACAAAGACTCGAATACAAATCACCAAATGGAAGAAAAACTCTTCAACTAAGATATAATTAATACTGTATTTAGATAAAATGGTATGTGCTATAAAACTTTTTAAGCGGTTTTATCAAGCACAAATCATTTATGGATTAAGGTTTGTCAAACAAATATTTGAAAAATGATTACTTCTGGAATGTAAGAACTGGGAAAGGAATATCATGGGTGTAGGAGGGCAATTTTACTAACTAGAGAGAGCCTCAAGTTGGGTTCTGATTAGATGATGGGAGATGGAAAATCTATTAATTTTGGCACCATTAATGGGTTGGAGACATGCATCTTGCAGATGAAGTTAATCACGAAAGAATTGAGAACAATAATCTTCTTGTTAGTGAAGTTGTTGATCAAGAAATGAAAGTTTGGAGAGAAGATAAAATCTATGATTTGGTTTCAAGTCATGTGTGGCATAGGATCAAGGCCATCTTCATCCCCTTGGAGTGAGGAAAAAAAAAAGATAAGTTGATATTAATACTTAGGCTCCGTTCACATTTAGGTAAGTTACTTATCTGGGTAAATGCACTTACCCAGGTAATTGTTTTCCAGGAAAGATTTACCCAGTTAAGTGCATTTATCCATGTTCTTTTATTTCCCATGTAAATACGGCAATAACCATTTTATCCATAAAAATTCATTATTACAAAGGGTATCACTTACCCGGGTAAGTGATACCCAGAAAAATAAACTTTCCCTGGTCCCCACATAAATCTGAAAAAAGAACATGGGATTTTTGGTCAATGGGAATCAAAATCCCATTGACCAACATTCCCCCCTCTCAAAATCCAGAAAAAGAATGCCCCCTTAATGTGAATGGTAAATTCACCATGAAACCAATGCATTATGCCAAGGTCAATTTGATTCAAAGATCTATGGAAAATTTTAAGTGGAATTCCAAAGTTTGGAATCTTATTTGTTCTCTAAAACTTAAAAGTCTTTATTATTCTCCTTCTGAATAATAGTCTTCCATCAAAGACATTTTTAAGGAATAGAGGAGCAAATGTTGATTGATCTTGCAATCGATGTGGTGAAGAAGAGGATTCTATCCATATTTTCAAGTTTTGCAGCTGTGCAAAACAAATTTGGATGACAGTTAAGCTCAATATAGAGAGGGCGCTGATGAGACTGACCCATCGATAAATAAGTGGTGGAAAAGACTTTCTATAAATAAGGACTTTGGGTGTGATAACAGAATGGAGAAGACATTGTATATTTTGTGGTTTCTATGGAAGAGTAGAAACAAAAAACTTTTCAAGGATTATTGATATCCTTTCCCCTAAAAGTGATATTATTAAAATAAATTTTGATGTTTCTTGCATCAGTGGTGATAGTTGTTGGGTGGTAGCTATTGCTTGGAACCACCTTGGAAAGGTTATTGATGTTAAAGCTTTATATCTACAGCAATCAACAATAAACATGGCTGAAGCTTCGGCTGCTTGGGAAGCGCACAACCTGGTGTTAAATTTCAGGGGCTACTCCATAATCATTGATAGTAATTTGAAGACTGCCATCTCTTGTCTGCACTGCAGAAAGCAATGGATCCTTCGTGGAAACTAAAGAACATCATTTAAGACTTTTAGGAGCTGAAGAACCATTTTGAAAAAGATATTACTTATAGGCAAGGTTCAAAATATTGATACGGGTGTATCGGACGGGCAAATCAATACCTTTTTTTTTTCTTTTTTTCAAAATTGGTTTAGGGGGACGGTTTAGGGCTCCTCCACCCCCTGAACCAGTCAGACCCCTGATACACCCAATGTAGGGTTGGAGGGGTCCCAGAAAGATACGTATCGGTCGATACATGTCGATACCTTGAACCTTGCTTAAAGACATGTATACCATAAGGACAATCAAGTTGCTGACGAGTTAGTTCACGAAGTTCATTTGTGTAGTCCAGGTTTTATGAATCTCAAACTCCAAGATCTTCCTTGGTCGTTGGTTTATATTTGTGCTAGTAATTTCTAGGGACATGCTACCCCCACCTCCCACCCCTGGTTTTAAGTAGCCCCTCCTGTTTTATAGAAAAAAAAAGTCATTTTATCAACTTTTCCTATTAATATTATAGCAACCAAAAAAATCAAAAAACAAATAAATTACTAATTATCATTTAAGCTAGCCATATTTTAATTCTTCTATCATCCCCCCGGCCTTTCTTTATAATATCCTGATGGCTCACATTCACATATCTTTGCTTTTTCCACCATATCTATGCATATTGCATTTATCGATACTCTCAATAGGTAAAAATTGCATATTAACCATTTCAATCCATCAAAACTTTTACGTAGGATTCAAAGTATCGAAATATATCGGCCTGTATAAATTGATACGTATCGTGTCGATAACTTTCTGATACATCCAATTGTATCAGGTCAAATCATAGTTCAAAGGGTAACCGAGACTTGATAAAAAACTGAATCAATAGTTTGAACCTTGGTGGTAACAGATCTAAATGATGGTGAGATTCGTGAGAGCAAGGTTTAGTCCATAGAAAACCATGCATCTCCTGTTATCTGAGTCAGCAGATTATCCACGGCTTATTCACTGTTTCATTCTAATATAGATTGCAAGAACCTCTTTTCAAGATTTGAAGTGCAATCCATTTCTCATATCAAAAGCGACTATAAATCCATTGCCTACATAATTTTCCCAGTTTGCTCTTAATTTAGATTCTCCTGGCTAACTGCCAGACTGGCACCCATTTTTATGATTTGACTAGACCAGGGAGTGGACCTAAGATCTTGAATTCGAAACCAATGCAGAATCGACGCTTGCCGCTCGCTGTGTTGGTTTAACTTGTGCATCTGAGATAAGGCCTGTCAATGTTATCCAAAATTCAAGGTCCGATCCCACTAAAATCAAAATCTGATTATATTATAATGTTTATTGATTTTAATATATAATTTTTATACAATTATATTTAAAATTATAAAAATATACATATTTTACAAATTATATTACATATGAATTCATATTTTTTAATTTAAAATTATAAAATATATATTTTTAATTTATACTAATTTATAAAATATAATTAACTTTTTTATTTTTTTATATTTTTTAAATTTTAAATAGAGTTGGATTGTCGAATTCAAATCGGAGGCCTTCAAATCCCATCGCATTTCGGATCAGATTTGGATGTAATGTTCCAATAATCGGATCGGATTGGCAACTAATTTCAAATAATCGGATCGGATTTGGCAACCGAAAATATTAACCTAACAATAAATCAGCCTCAGCCACAAGAACTCGGCAAGCACTCGGCTAAAGAAGAAAAAAAGCTACAACTACAGAATAACTCAAGTATTATCAGATATAAAAGTCCAAAACTGAGGGATTGTATAGAAAAGACCTTGGAAGGAATTGCATCGCTAGGTAAACATTCATGAAGAGTTCAAAAAGTCAACTTATTTTCGTTTTACACTAACTTCTGTTTCACATGTAACCCGCATTTTCAGACATCGAATTGAATTTAAATATCACTTTGTCTAAGAGACCAAGGTTTTGACACTCAGGGAAAAAATAACTAGGATGACACAAAATTAACCTCTTTTTGCCTATTTCTTTCCAGGTGTGCTCTCCAAATTCATCTCCTGAAGGTTCAGCAACAGGTCATCAGAGTTCAAAAATACCCTATTGGCTGAGTTGGAAATTGTCTGTGCTATTTCTCTTGCAGCTTCAATTTTCCTCAATGTGATGAATGCTGGATTGTCTGCAATAGCTTGACCTATCAGCTGGGCACTTTTGGCTTCACCCTAGAGATCCAAAAAAACAGAATATAGAGTGAGCATTAGCAGCCATGAATGTGTTTTGTGGGGATGGTGATCAAGAATTCAAGATCATTATCCTAGTCAGTAGTCACAGTATTGACTATTGAGCACTTCCTTACCTGTGCTCTAATGACAGCACTCCTCTTGTCTTGTTCTGCTTTCTCAACAACGTATTTGGCTCGTTCTGCTTCTTGAGCCGCAATCTGTTTAGCTTCAATTGCAGCTGTAAACTCCTTCCCAAATGTTAGGCTTGTAATGGACACATCATCCAATGCAATATTGAAATTGGCTGCACGGTCTGTCAATATTTTCCGTATTTCTCTACTGACAGCCTAAAACAACATTTCTTTTCAGTAACAAGAAATTTTACAAAATTAAGAGGAAACACACAACCGGGCTTTATGATGAGAAAAACGCCAAAGTGAAGTGGAGTTTCTTATCACACGGTAGACAGTACACCCCCTCCAAAAAAAATAAAGATTGTATCTCTAGAAGGCATTAAGAAGTGCTTCAACCCACTACAGACATGATAGGACCCATCATAGATAGTGGGCAGGTATTGTAGCATCCTAGTACATTGTGGGCTGAAACCTACTGCAACGAACCAAAGATTTGCTGCAAACAAAAGTGTGCAAACCCAGCCATGATTGATTATTGGGTTCACACACCAGTTCCGCAGCAAATTCCATGTTCACTGCAATACCGCTTGACTGTGAATGCCTGCCACCATGCATCGATAAATATAAATAAATTAATAAAAATAGCAATCTACCTTCAGAATTAGTATCTACAAACCAGGTACAAGACCTAGGATGATGGAGAAAAGTTAGTTAGGCTTTTTAAAAATAAGAAACACCTTTAGGTTTTAACCTTTTCCTAAATGTCCTTCCATATGCAGATGATACAAACATTCATAACAAATACGACCCATAAATTCCTTGTCAAATAACCCCAATTATCCAAGTATTAAAAACAGTCGTGGTAACACGTAAAAAAGTTGTCCCAAGTTTCATCTTTATAAAGAAATTGCAGTTGTCTAGATTCTGTTTCTTTCCCCAAGCCACTGTATTTAGACTCCTAGACTCTCTCTGTTTTCAATAAAACTTCTCCTTAATCATCAAAAGAAAAAGTTATCAGAATTATCTTAAAAACTGCGAGTAACCAGCCAGACTATACAGGAAATGACTGTCATCAGATGGTCATGAAACTATAATTTTGATGAGTGAAGAAAAAAAGACTGTTGAGGTCCTTGAAAGAGAGTGGTGGGGGGGAGCAGCACCATATTGTATCGGTAGCAATTTAGTATACAAGATAAATGTCCCAGCCTACCTCTCTTTGTGTGATCAGTTGGCTGGCATTGTACTGTGCAACCACAGCTTTCAGAGTCTCATGGATAATAGAAGGTAGGACTCTCTCATTATAATTCTCACCCAGGGTTCGGTATACTGTAGGTAATTGGTCTGGGACAGGTCTTGTAAGAACTCGAAGACCAATTTTGACCTGCAAAATAAAACCATATTGCACCAATCAGTGTAATATTGCAATAACATAAAAACAACAAGTCAAACACACAGCAAAAGCCCATGTCATATAGGACATAAAACAAACTTGAATCCATCACAGAACCAAATGCATGTGAAATAGAAAAATAGATCCAGATGGGGAAAATAGCCTTTGCAGTACATTTTTTAAATAAATAAAAAAATTATTAAGAAAAAGAAAAAGGTTGCAAAGACAGTGACGAGACCCAGCAGCAACCCCAAAGACCAGGCTGCCACATTTAATTACAAAAAGAAATTAATAAAATCCTTTGGGAGTTACATTGATCTTGATGGAATGCAATAGTCCACTATGATGAGTTGATGGCAAAGACTTAATTAGACTCCTAGATCAGCTAACAGTTTAGCTGCTGAGTTTGCCTAAAGTGGCCTGGCAAGACTGACTGGAAACATCAAAATATGCTCGTACTGTAAGATTGATTTTTTTTTTTTCATTTTCTTTTCCAATATTGGACTGCAGGGGATTTTTTCATTGCTCTACCCTCATTCTACTTTTTCTTAAAATAAAACTTGTCATATTGCTTCACAAATAACAAATTCTCAATACATAAAAATATAAATTCCTTTGGAATTGTAGTTTCTGTGGCTTTCCTTGAAGAATAGAGAATGTATGAAAACATATATGGAATAGGTTACCATTTGGAGGTCACGGCTTCCTGAAGTACTCTCAACAAGATGTGGTCGTGCACGAACATCATAAATGACTGGTCTGTCAAACCATGGGATCATCAAATGTGTTCCTTCCGGATAAACCTGCAAATTCACCAAGTCAGTAGGCTGAGAAATAAAATACACTAGAGGATTTAACAGCTCTCACAAGGGGAATGATATTAGATATCTAGGATGAAGAATACATGCAGCATACTTTATTTTTCAGGATTTTGTTATAATATGTCTAGCCAATCTTTTAATGTTCTTTGAAATTCCATCTCCACACATGAACAGAACAGATAACAGGACGGGAAAAATGATATAAAGATTAAATTTCATCAAAAATATCAAATCAATTACAAGGGTGCGAAGGTTTCACCACAATCTTCAAAAAAAAACGGAAAACATCCAACCAGTTAAAATCGAAAAAGAAAATAACAGGAAAAATACCAACACAGGACCCATTATTGTAAACCTAATGAAAACAACAGTTTGCTATCAACATCCTCAATTACAAGGGTGAGGAGGTTTCACCGCAATCTCCAGAAAAAAGGAAAACATCCAACCAGTTATTAACATTTCAAAGAAGAAATCCCATATGAAAAGTGAATAAATGCTCAACTTCATCCCCTTGATTTCTGCTTCGGCACATTACATACATATTTGGAAAGTGAAAACCACTAGCCTTCAAATGATTCAAAGTATGAATCCAAAGCCACAAGCCAAGAAAAGGTTTCCAGTCTAGGTGGAATTGGGTTGCCCCCGGATGGCTGGTTGCTTGTTTCCTCCAACTGGTTTCTTCACAGAAGGGCACACCACAGAATGATCTGACCAAGAACTTCCCATCCACACATTCTTTCCACCACCTCACATCTTCCTCATTAGGGTCTTCTAAAACCAGGATACCACACAAAAGTATAAACACACTCCATCTGGTAAAGAATCAATTTACCATCATATTTTTGGAGACAATTTATCATCCCCGCACCAAATATCTTCTTGATTGAAAAAACAGAAACTACAAAAGAATAAAAAAATATATATCCTTTTAAGGAAAGAACTGGTTGCCATTTGTTTTAAAATTCATATGCTTGAAAACTATCTGGTGAACAATAAATGGCATGCATACTTGTATAATGCCAAAAGATACCAAGCCTAAGATCAAGAAAGAGAGCTCTGTATGGTATGATCAATGGGTTCTATGAAAACCCCAATCAGCACATGGAGAACAATAGAAACCATTTAACTTATTCGAAGATGAAGTCATATACTTCAAACTTTATATACCATCACCCCATAAGCTAACCCTGAGGCTGTGTTTGGAAGCAATGTAAATCAAGATCGACGTAAATATTTACGCCAGTTCAGTTTTGTCAGTGTATGGAGTGGAGTTTTACATCTAAAGTAGAGTTTTATATCGATTATCGATGTAAATACTACATCAATAAAATTGATGTAAAACTCCGCTTCTCATCATGCTTTTCAAAACTCAAACGGTCAATTTTTATACGGTTCGATGTACTTTTACACCAATGACATTTTACACCAGTTCCAAATGCAGCCTAAATGGCTTCAAACTGCATATACCACCATCCCCTAAAGCTAACCCTAAATGGCTGAACCCAAACACACTCTGAACATTTCTACATGATAACTACCATGCAGAATGCAAAGTACAACAAGAGAATTCCAAGCAGAATTTCTTTGACATACATCATGTGGAATGAAAATAAACAATCAACCAGCACAGTTAAAATATTGCCTATGCATTGACTAGGCAACTATCTATGTGTTTTGGAGGCCTATTAACTACTTGACAAATTAGATTATGAGTACAGATACGAACATTTTAGTGTATGTAACCTTTTTTTTAATCAGTAACTCAAGAAATTTTATTAAGATTAAAAGAAAAATAAGAGTACAACAAGAAATTGTTAGGATAAAGATCCTTTACAACAAAGAACCCCCCATGCAATTAACATTGAAGCTGTGTGTGTAACCTTTTTTAGTTTGATAGCAGTGTATATAAAACTAAACATCAGGGTTCTTAACTCTGTATCGACGTGTGCTTCACATTGAACCAGAGGCAAGTGAAGTTATTCAAAAATCTTATTGTTTTTTCCAAAAATCAGGTACAAGTTGTCATTTGATCATTTAGTGACTTGATTTGCATTTTAACTCTTAAAGGAACCATGTAAATTAGGAATAGATTTCTACTTTTGTTCTCTGATTGCTAGTGCAAAGAATTTCTGGTAGGACATTAACCACAATATAATTTGCTTTATGGAATTTCAAGTATGATGTACCTCATCAAGTGGTAGAAGTTCTATACATAGAAAGAAAAAGAGTTCATACGTGGATTCAAGTCTGAGAGCAATCGATTTATGCAAAAAAAAAAAAAAAAACCAAAAGTTAGCTCCATATACAGTCCACCCCTCCCAAGACCCCAGACAGCTGGGACTAACATTGGGTAAGGACCCTTTAAACAAGGGGTATTGCACATAGTAGTAAGATTTGTTTTGTTAGGTTTGAGACAAAATGATTAATAGAAAATCAAAGAAGATTTTTTTATTACTAATGGGAGTCATCTTTTCTATAAAATTGCGTAGTAGGTTTCTTTAAAATACTAATATTTTAAGCTTTTCGATTAATGAGTAGAGTTCTAACAGTCATCTCACAACGTATCATCCCGTATCAGCTGGTACATATAACATATCATATCGGTATACTTTAAGCTTGGTTTTGGGATTTGACCTGTTTCAGGGGGTAGACAGACCTTATACCGACCCATATGCCCCATCTGGCATATTGGCTTATATCAATATTTAGAACCTTGGTAGTAGCTTAGGCAATCCAGGGCCATCCAGTATATTAGGGGAGTCTTCAGAAAAGCTGTGGATCAAATTGTTGCCTTATTCTCTGGTCCTATTGGAGTGGGGGACTCGGTTAATGCAGAAGTCCAAGCAGTGTTGCAAAGAGCAGAGATTGCTAAATAATTGAACTTTGAACACTTGTTAATTGACGGTGATTTGAAACAGGCAATTGGGTGGCTGAAAGAACCAGAGACAATGGCTTGGTCCTATAGGGAGGCCTTGAGAAGATTCAAATGGCTAACTACAAATATAATAGTCAGCTTTCAATGGGAAAGAGATTGGCAAATGGAATGGCAGATTCTCTGGCTAAACAAGGGGCAAATAGGAACCAACTATTTTGGGCTCAATTATAAGATCTTTGAGTTGTCTTGAGGCTGCACCTTGCACCTCTTTGTGGGAAGCATTCATTGTGTATATTTTTATTGATTCTTAATAAAATCTATATTTCTTATCAAAAAAAAAAATTCAAGGCAAAACCATTGGAAGGGTGAAACCCCCACATTACCCTGTTGAGTTCAGTATCTGCCTCCATTACTGATCTCACTTTTTTATTTCTTTTTAAGGGCTACACAACGGGGGTAGCCCATCCCCCAACCCAGGTGCACCTTGCACCTCTTTGTGGGAAGCATTCATTGTGTATATTTTTATTGATTCTTAATAAAATCTATATTTATCAAAAAAAATTCAAGGCAAAACCATTGGAAGGGTGAAACCCCCACATTACCCTGTTGAGTTCAGTATCTGCCTCCATTACTGATCTCACTTTTTTATTTCTTTTTAAGGGCTACACAACGGGGGTAGCCCATCCCCCAACCCAGGTGCAGGCAGGATTCGATCCCATGTCTCCAGTACGACCAGTGGGAGACCTTACCAACCAGCTGGTTGGCACCTTGCCTCCATGATTGATCTCTTTCTGAGTGTTTTCAGATCAAGAAAGAGCCAAGGAAGAGAGGCAACAGATCAGAATTTAGAGATGTGGCCATTGCTTTGACACAGATTAGCCGGTCAAGAGATCAGAGCTAAACTGCAACACTAAATGGCTCACTTTAGCACATGCAATGGGGCTTTCATCATCAGCTAAGATTTCAGAGAAGCCTGCGGTGCACCGTGCAGGGTTAATGAGTAGAGTTCTTTCTTTGTAAGTTTTTCTTTAAGCTAGCATGTAATCTAGGTTCTCTTTTATTGGATGAACTGAATTAATGTTAATTGACTTAAGTGGATTGTAGGTTAACTAATTGATCAAAAAAAAATTGTAGGTTAACTATGAGAAAAAACTAGGGTTTCTATAAAAGTTGAGGTATGGCTGTAGTGGGATGATATATTGGTAATTTCGAAAGCTGACCTAGTGTAAATCCCAAGGGGCTAAGATGGTACAGCAGTATGTTGGAACTAATCAATCCACAAAAGAAGCTGAACAGGTCTGACTGATATGTATTACTTAAAAGATTTTACCGATTGTTACTCTAAAGATCAAGGAAGATACAGGTATGGTTGGCTAAGAGTTCTAGCTTTACTCTTTGATCCTACATGGTAAAACTATCAACTGTCAAGTCCACTTATCTAGGAACCAAATGAACTAATAACAACTCTTGTTCTTGAAACAATTAACAGTTGAATCTTGATTCGTTTTTTTTCTCAGTAGTTAAATCTAGAGTCTTTAACTTCAACTCCAAAATTTAAAGGCACCAGGAGCCCATGATACTAGAGTATTGACTACTAGAGTAAATACAACCTAAATAACTCTCCTCCAACTCTTAAATTAACCTAGAACACACCCATTATAAGGAAAAATCTGCACCAAAAATTAATTCAGGGAAAGAAAATACCCACGACAACACTCATGGTGCCCCCGAATTGGGAGATCTTGAAATGCTTCCAAACAAATGGCAATTTTTTTTAGCTCTACTTCAGTCACATGATACCAAAGGGCCCTGTAGGATGCACAATTGCAGACACCCTATTGGTGCTTTGTGATCCCCACCTTGAAAGTCTCCAATTTTCAAGGTTTCTCTCATTGGCAATTTCTTCCTTGTTTGGATGTATTGGCCCTTCCTTTTTTGGTGTATTCACATTAAATATGTTATGAATAGATACAAGTACATAAATACATACATCTAGAAGCACACACAAGACTTACAAGAGGTCTACAAGGAAAATGAATGTACTATATACATTCAGGCATGAGCCTCAAGGTTCAGGTCTGAGGTGGTTTCCTTACCCCCATCTCAAAGTGAGATTCAAGGTGTCAACCTGATACTTTTTTTTCTTTTTTTTATTGGTAACATTGTAAACCTAATTGATTATGAATATTACCCCTCAACTTAGACAGGTCTCAACCACCTAGCCCCTTGCATATTCTTTTTTAAACACCACTTGTGGTTACCCTGAGAATAGCTTATCCCTGTTAACCCCTTCTTTTGCTTAAGAATCAGCCATACTGTTTAACACTCCATGCACCCAATTGAAGGCAACAAGCAGTTCCTTTGCTAAAAGTATAACTTCTCTCAATGTAAGCCTCATACATTGTTTTTTCTTAAACCAGTGTCTTTTACATCATTAGTTTCACAAGGCACCATCACTTAATTTTACTCACAAATTTCATCATCCTATACACGATATAATCAATTCCATTAATCCATTTAGAAAAACAATAAGACATTTAAAATCATGAATTTTCATATAGCAAGAGTCCAAATAAATAAGTAAAGAATTAACTCAATAGCTTCAAAAAAAATGAATTCAAGACTGTGTGCTGTCACTTTGTGCAACAAAATGCCTTAACAAGTCAAGAAGTTATGATCATCCAACCACCCCACCCAAGACCTTTGATAGCAAGGAACTTAATTGGATAATGGTCCTTAACAAGTCAATTGAATGGTGAATCCAACCAAGCAAGTATTACAACACACCAAACTCGAGCAAATAAGCAAAGAAACAGCACCTGGAAGGCTGGAATCCAAGTAAGTATCATGGTAAAAATATAAGAAAAAAAAAGTAATGAATAGCATATCAATATACCATATCATTTATGTATTCTATGGTCTAGTAAAATACAGCATATGACAAGATGCTTGCCTCACCTTTTTCCTTGTCTAAGATAACATGGTGTTTAACACACACACACACACAAGGAGAGACAGAAGATAATATAAAACACTACTTCATATTTAAAAACTCAAAAGGTAAAGATTAAGAGCATAACTTTTCTGGGTTTGACTATGATACCGGAAAAACTTACAGCCGATCAATAGGTATCATGAAAGAGGTGGTGTTCATCAAAATTCACAGGGGTGCTTTGATTGCTCAAAGCTCTTCCAGTACCCTGTATTTCTGGTATCATAGATTTGATTTTCCCTAACTTTCTATTAAAAAAAGCATAACTTAGACTAGAAAAATTAAATCTAATAGTTTATTAGGAAAGAAATGATGTAAAAGGCTAATGTTGCCTAAAACATTTTACATACACCCAATGGTAACTTAAAAGGGGCCATTGCTTGGTAAAATGGGTAAAACTCAGACTAAAATGTTTGAGAACATGAGCTCAAGTCCGAGAGTGACCACCTTTTGTTAAAAAAAAAAAAACAAAAACATATCCATTCTACTCCTCTCAAGACCTTGGATAGCCAGGACCAGGACTGAGTAATGGGCCTTACTTAATAGGACATTAAAAGCATAGCAGTTTCATGGAGATGTTACGCCACTGACTAAAAGCTGCTGGAAACGGACATAAGTTTTTATAGACACGTATGCAGATGACAGGGAGATAGATCAAAGAAAACGCAAATATTATTGACAAAAGGCAATCCACTCCGTCAGAGTGAGTTCCAAGCCCCACAGCAACAAAGGATATCTTCCACAAGGAATGCTAAAATGGCAGATCCAGAGAATTCATGTACTGAGGGACCTCTGGATGGGTCTTTTGTTATATATCTATTGGGTTGAAATTTGACTTGGAAAAATCGTGGCATGAGGAACTACTAGGACCGTTTTGGGTTGCTATTTCCTGCTTTGTGTAAGAACAAAGAATCAAATACAGCAAGGATTTCAATCATACTCTGCCTAGAAGTATAATAGCAAAAATATTTAACCCGACCAAGAAATTAGAAATCAGGAAACCAGAGGAAATGCATTGGCGAAAGTACATATACCCATAAAGCAATTTGCAGAGACAATATGAAAAGTATCAGTTCTACAAGTTCCTGATGACGAATTAAACTAAACAAATCGAGCAGAGAAAGAAAATATACCTTATCTTTGACACCAATTAGACGATTGAAGACAATCGCACGATGACCTCCCTCGACATTGTAAAGACTATTAAAGGCTGCATATAGACCAAGGCCTCCGATAACTCCAACCTTCAACAAAGCAGCAGCCGCACCTCCTCCCGGAACCTTGGGGACCTTCAAGTTGTTGAAATTCATTTCGCAAAAACTGCAAAAACCGAAAATGGAATGTCAAACAAACAATATTAGAACATCCATAGCTGCCAATAGGGTAAGGTGAGCCTGGGCGACAGGGAATCGCCTGTAGTTGCCCAGGCCATAGTCTGTAAATCTGTTCATTGAGAAAGAGATTGTAGAAAAAAAAAGGGAAATATGAAGGAGTCCCGTTCTATTAAACAATCATAGAGAAAGGAATGAAGATTTTGTTTTCTCTCAGAAAGAAGAAGAAGAAGAGAAGAAGAAGAAGAAGAGAAGAAGAAGAAGAAGAAGAAGAAGAAGAAGAAGAAGGAGAAAAGGAGGAATAGCAAGTAAAATGATACGCACCGGAAGTAATTCGCAGAGCTTCTGACCTCCGGTCTTCTACTTTTGCTGCTGCACCTCCTCAACCAGGCCCCAACTCTCTAAAACCCTCGATCACCTAAAGGAGCAACACTCAAAAACCCTTTTCCCTGTTTTAGGTCATATAACCCTTTTAGGTATAACTACGGGTCGGGTTCAGTATATTTTTCACAACCCGGATCTGGTCCTAAGTAATCCTAACCCGGACTCAATCCGAGCTTAAAGGAAGATTGATCTCATTGAAGAAGGAGATAATGAGATATTAAACCCATTCTACTCTGACCAATCTCATGTACAATGCACTTAATATAGAGCTGCAAATTATTTGGAAAAAAAAAGAATATAAGGATGAAAACGGGTCGAATAGAATATGGATATATCCAAAATTTATTTATTTATATTTGAATTCGAATCTTTATCCACTGGACTTTTATATCAGATTCCAATTGAGATCAGATTGGTACTTTGGTTGTTGGGTGTTCATTCGGTGAGTTCAAATTGGATGATTCGACCAGTATAACCGAGAATCTTACTGGTATCTGGGTTTACCCATTCTAATTAACCAGATTGAATCGACTCAATTCTATTTGGTTTGGTTTTTTGTGAGGATATTATTTTTTATTAATATATAAATATGTTATATTGTTATTAATAAAAAATAATGTATATCGGTTTATTCAATTTGATTCATTTGATAGCCGAGTTTGAATACCCCTAATTGGAATTTTGGTTATTGAATAGTATTAACAAATTAACTAAAATATCATAAACTTATATACTATAATAAAATAAATTAAAAATGACTTTAATATTTTATTTCATTAACATAATGAATGGAAAATAATTTGTATGACCTTGAAGCTATGACAATCAAATAAAGATGTAACTTAAACCAACTTGATTGATAGATACAATATAAATACAATATAAATTTTAAGTATATATGAGCATATATATATATATATATATATATATTAATTGAATCAGATAATTCAATCCAATTATAAAAATGATTGAATTCAGATAACCCTTAATGGGATTGAATTCAGATTCAAATTCAAATTGGATAAATGGTTATCATTTACAACCCTAACCTATACTCAACCATGCTATATATGCAAATATTTCAATTGGGGGCTAAGCTAGCTTAAGCACCTATTTTAAGGGATCTAGCCACATTACAAGATGCAAGCATGCAAGTTTCACCATTATTTTAAGAAGGGTAAATCTCTTAAACTATCCTTATTGTTCATAAAATTGACAAACTGTATCCTTACTGTTTAGATATTGTCTTGTGATACCCTTAAGTTTTCTGATAATTGTCTAACATCTCCCTTGCCATTAATTTTCTGTCACACTCTGATGTAACATCATGTGAGTGTTGATTATTTTGAAAATCCTAAAATACTCTTATTGTTCACCACCGCTGTTAGAACACCATCACTAGTGGCAATTGCAGTGACCACGGAACACTATGGCCACCTCCCGGATGACGGAACACCACGACCACCTTGATGTTTCTAATTCTCCTCTAGTTCAATTTTGTTCATCGCCGCTGTCGGAAGTTACAGCAGTGGCGATGATTTTGGTATCATTATCGTAAGCGATGGAGGCCATTGCAACTTCTGAACGTCAAAAATTTGGTGATCATACAACACTGATCAATACCCACCCATTCACTATAGCATATCTGAACGCCGATCTGGACATAAGATCGAATACAGAGGTACCTTCATCATCTCCCGAGTGTATTCAAGAGTAACAGACATGGCCATTAAGTCTGGACAGAGGATCGAATACGAAGAACAGTTTGGTTCACAGAAGGAAGGTCATGTAGTTTCCTATTCAATTAAATTACCATCTACTCGAATGAATGAATTAATTTAATGGGTATGCGGAAGACCACCCTTTTTCTCAATGTCTCAGACTCTCAGGATAGGAATATTGAGTCTCAACTCAAGCTTCAAATCTAGGAAATGAAAAAGTTTGTGAAAGGAAAGAAGGGGAAAAGGAGGGTAGATGCTCTGTAACTCGAATTAACTAAATGCAAGTGACCAACCTGCAACTAGGTATGGGCAGCAGCTAGAGAAGAAAGCAATCTAGTGAAGAGCAAGGGTTTGCAGAAACCCTTTTTCTCCTAAGTAAGTAAGTTCCTTACACAGAGCCCTTGGTAACAGAAACCCTTGTAAAATAGAGAAACCCATAAAGCCCTTGGTAATCTGGTTGTGTTTCTAGATAGATCCCCTGTTCATCAGTTTGGTTGTTCGTCGCTGCAATCAAGCTTTTGCGACTTTGGAGTTTACAGACAAACCCATAGAGCCCCCGATAATTTAATTTCCAATAGCGGCTCTTTCTCTCTCCCTATCCCCTACGCTCTCTCTCTCTTCACCCATTCCTTCCTTCTCTCTCGCCCCTGTTTCATTACCACCTGCAGCGGCGGCTGACCTCTCCAACAGCAGTCCGGTAACATGTAATAGCCTCCCTGGGTATAGTTCCAGTTTTCGAGAGGCGTTGGAAATTCCAGACTGGCATTCAGATCTTCTGCAGTGGTGTCGTTCAATCAACCATACAAAGAGTAATCAACGATCTACATAGTCAGTTGGGTTTTATTTTAAAATTTTGGTGAATAATAAAGGGCAAATTCGATATTTCATTTTTTTCTATTAGTGTAGATGTATTAATTGTCGGAAAACTTAAGAGTACCATAAAACAATATCTAAACAATAAGGATACAGTTTGTCAATTTCATGAACACTAATGATAGGGATAGTTTAAGAAATTTACCTTTTTAAAAACAATAATTTACGTATTGTCATTATAGAATGAATGATCTGCATTTTGAGAATAAGGCCCGCTATCATTATTGGTATTGAGGAAAAACCAACGGTCTCGATATAACAACCGAATAGTTTTTTTTTTTTCTTTTGAAGGGAAAGGCAAGAATTTATTGATTAAAAAAGAAAAGGGTACAACAACTTCCCGGTACACCTCCCCGGAGAAAGAGGAAAAAACTCATTATAGATTCCAAACTGATTGAGAGTGAAGCATCTAACATACATTAATTTTGATGCTTAAACTCAAGTCTAACTAACAACCAAGATGCAAGCTTACACATAGATATCTGTATCAGGTCATCTATGTTTTTAGCTTTGTTACAGAAAATGCAACTGTTTCTCTCAGTCCAAATGGTCACAAGATTAGTCGTAAGTATGGTGCTCTAGATCAATTTCCCCTTTCTCTTCGGGCCAGTTAACTTCCAACAATAGAGCAAGTCCTTGATAGAGCTAGGCATGACCCAGTCGACCCCAATAGCTTTAAGAAAATGAACCCAAATCTTCAAAGCAAAATGGCAGTGGAGTATGTAATTTATCCTTGAGATGTTGTTTCCATTTAACTAGCCAATTTCCATGGGAATTTTTTTAAGGATGTAATCTATTAAATCTCAAGTGGTGATGTATGAAAAAAATAAGATTTTTTTTTTCATTCATGCAGAAATAACTAAATAAGCAATTTAATAGTTCTCACAAGTAAATTCGATTTTAATTGAGACAACCAAATAAGAATTTCAACTTGATTACTTTGGTTTTGGTCCAGTTCTCAATTCAATAATTTTTATTTATTCGATTTGGTTTTGAATCAAACAAGCTGAAGGCTTACCCCTACCTCTATGTGTGTTATTTAGGTATAGATGTTCAATTATTTTAAAACCAGTTTATTATCTACAACTACAAGTTGATTTTGTTCATATGCACATACAAACAATGTTCAGAGACCGGAACCAAACATAGAATTGGGAAAGGGAGGTTCACAAGTACGAGGTTTGATTGGGGTTAAATCAAAGGTTGAGCTGTGATAAAGTGGCATATATGCATATATACTATGGGTCGTATAAATACTATATAATTTATTTTACAAATTATATTATACTTGAATGTGGTGGATATTCAAAGTTCAAACCTCTTAACTTGCATTATATCATACCGGAAAAACTTAAATCCAATCAACTAGTATCATAAAAGAGGTGACCAATCAAGTGGTATTCATCAAAATTCACAAGGTTGGTATCATAAAAGATGTGACTAATCAGGTGGTATTCATCAAAATTCACAAGGTGCTTTGATTGGTTAAAGATCTTCTAGGACTGTCTTTCCAGTATCATAAATTTTCCCATTAACACAAATAAAGAAATGGATTAGATGGTAATCAAGCAAAACAAATACAAAGGAGGTAATGGGTTCAAATCTTGCCATAACATTTTAGAATTTCGATTGTTTAATGACTTAAGTGGTTTCATGAAACTGGGATCGGTTCATTGGTTCTCCATTTAACCCAACCCGTTAGTTGGTTTTTGATCCAATATAGGATTAAACGCCAAGAATGTTGGTTTTTGCCATTACAGAGACATGATGATGTTGTAGTGATAATTCAATATATCCATAAGTATAGATGTCATAGTCTTTTATAAAGAGATAGGATCCATTCAACTTTTGAATATTTGTATACAAGGAGGGGCCAATAATGAAGAGGCATGTCCAAATTCACAAATAGGTTCCAATGGAGGTGGTTCAATGGAACATTAATAGTTATAATATGATCAAATGAGATTAGAGGAGTTTTTGAGTAAGACATGAGATTATAGGAGTTGAACAAATATTTTTATAGTAGAGATGCATTTCGAGTAGCATTGAATAAGTTTTTTAGCGCATTGATTTGCATATATTTTGATTATAAATGTCAGACAACGTATTCATGCTAGGTATAATGCAAATAGTTATGGATGGTAGATGTGTGCAATTGCAGTTAGTGAAGAGCCTATTTTTAGATTGAACATGTATTAGCATTACATACACACACATATAACAAGCATTAAATGCTCTATCAGTCTAAAAGGTCGAGCAAATTGATAGATGGCCTAATTCTTGACAAGCATTTGATGTGCAACAAGCATGACAAGGAGAGGCCAGATATCTAATCAATAGAGCAGATGATGATTCATAAATGGAAATTCCTTAATTGTATGAAGCATTATTAGAGTCTAATCCTAGGTTCTTTGTTATACACACAATTGATAATATGATGATGGATTTAACCAATTATTTATT